CCATTTGCCTTTCCTGCATGGCGGCTCGATCTTTCCAAATTGTTATCATCTTCAAGATGGCCACCAAGACCCCGGGCCTGTTGGAGGCCTGGAGGAGGCACCATGGGTCAAGTGTCTTGATAGGAAGTCTCACAGCTGTGCAGGGGGTGATAACCCTGGTGCACCTGAGCATCCGGCCGCCCATTCCACAGAAAAACGCCAATGCTTATGACAATTTGACTGTCCTAGAGTGTAGTGTAGGTGATACCACACTCTGGCTAAGCGGGTTGCTCTACAACACTCTCTTGGGGATTGTTTGCTTCATGATCAGTTACATGGGGAAAGACCTTCCCAGCAGCTACAATGAGGCCAAATGCATCACTTTCAGCCTCCTCATCTATTTTGCCTGCTTTGTCTCTGATTTCGTCACACGCAGGCTCTACACAGGCCAGTACCTAACTGCTATTTTTGTCACCTCCCAGCTCATCAACTTGTGTGGTATCTTTGGGAATTACTTTGTCCCCAAGGTCTACATCATCCTTTTTCACTCTGAACGGAACACTAGCGAACACTTCCAGATGTCCATCCAGAGTTACACCAAACGGATCAATGCAGCAGGCTGAGTGGCAGGAGGCTGCTTTGTGTTGGAGTGGCAGGGTCTGTTTGGCTGAGTGGTGGAGGTTGGGAGTTGGGCCAGATCCACCAGGTAAAAAGGGGAATGTAGAGGAGCAGTATGGTGCTGAGGAAGAAAATTCCTACAGTTTCATGACTGATAAGGAAAGAAAATCCCCCTTCCCCCTTTTCAGGAGAAATTGGGAAATGCTCTCTGACAGCCCACCACCACCAAGTATACCAGCTTCATCTTCTTGTTGATATTTATATTCTCCTCCTCCTTCTGGTTCAGAGTTCAGAAATGCTCCTTGACAGTCCTCTTGTCACCAAGTTTACCATCTTCTTCTTCTTCTTCTTCTTCTTCTTCTTCTTCTTCTTCTTCTTCTTCTTCTTCTTCTTCTTCTTCTTCTTCTTCTTCTCTCTCTCTCTCTTTTTTTGCTGTTCACAATCTCCTCCCCCTTTTGGTTCAGAGATGTATGGCAGTGCAGTGCCATTGCAGAAGACCTTTGTCATATCAAGGAGATCTAGGCAGAGTGGTAGTTTGCAACTTCTCCCCTGCATCCAATTTGGTATCCTTAGGCTTCCATCATCATTCGGGCCTTTAGTGCGCATGAGTCTTTTGTGAAAAGATGACTTAGCTCTACAGCTCTGATTCTTTTCTCATGATCTCTGCCTTGACTTGGCAGATGATTGTCTTGGAAGGATATGTGTTTATCTCTGTTGTACCAGCCAAAGCCATTAATTTTGGACATCTGGAGTTGGGAAACTAGGAGATATCACTTTGCTCATTAGTGCAGTGGTTTGAAGACATCTGTGCTGCCGTTTTTGCAAATTATTAAGACAACTGCTTGTCACAGCACCAGTAGTGAGTTGCTTTTCTGTCATTAGTAATGAAGAAATAATTTCTTGTGGTGCTGGTTGGGGGCAGGTACTAGCTGCCTGGAAGGTATAAAAGCTCCCTGAAAACTCTTTCAGGTAGTCTCGGGATCTGCCATACCCAGGAGGTGGTGTACACTTGGAATGAACCACTGTTCTTTCCAGAGACTTCTAGAAGGCAGACGTGGCTCAGCTCATATCTTTTCTTTTCTTTACTGTTTCTTGCCTTTGTGTTATTCTTCATTAAGTTTTTTTACAACATTGTTTACCTTTTACTACCTGTTTTGCATTATATTGCTGCTATTATTTTATATTCTCTAATCATTTCATGATAAGTGGTCCTTTTCCTTTAATAAAGTTTTGCAACCTTCTGGCATTGGTGTGCTTATTTTCTCTCAAATCCAAAAGAAGATGTGTGTTTAGGGCCATCAGGGGTGGGTTGTTATTGCAGCAGGGGCAGTGTGGCTCAGCCATTTCCCAGAACCATCCCTGGTTACAGCATCACCCACCCGCTGGGGGTTGTGCAGCCTTAGCCAAGCGGAGGGAGGAAGCTAGGGTCTCACTAATTAGCATTTTAAAAACTGGGCAACACCCTGGCCTTCTCTCTTTCTATTCAGAGCAGTTCCTTTTGTATTATCTTCCTGATGTGCTGCCAAACACTTCCCTCCATCAATAACTGAGGTCGCTTTCTAGGACATTGAAAACATGAAAATGACTCAAGGGACAAAACAAAGGCAAAGCAGCAGAAGTGTTCACTTTACAGACTCTGGATTTGCCCATAATTTGGGGAGCCTTTCTAAACTGTGTCAAAGAGTTGGCCCATGAGGCCCAAAAATAGAAACATAGCAAAAGGTGTGCACATACGTGTACTTGCAGGAGCCGATGGTGGCAGCAGTAGTCTCCCTATGTTTTGGGACTGAAGCTGCCACCCTTGCTGTCAACTGACCTTCTCAGGAAGGGCTGATGTAGGCCCCAAATGTCTGGAAACACACCTTCCCTGACCCGTGTCCCCATGTTCCTTCCACATGCATGATGCCAGAATGCCCCCTATCAGGCATACAGAGTACTGACTCTTGTATTTACAAGTTTGCTTTCTGAACTGCCTTTTTGATTTTAATGCATTCCATTTTTCTGTCATTGGGTTTGTTCTTAAATACTGCTTCAGATATTGTTCGCAGTTTTCAATATTGTCTTTTAATGATGTTAACCACCGTTGTATACTCATTGTTTTCACCTTTAAATGTTGTCTTTCCTTGTCTGTAAACCCATCTTGGATCCTTTTCAAGGAGAAAGTTGGGGTAAAAATGTTAAATAAATAAATAAAATAAGCGACACCCTATTTTGTGCCCCCAATATTATTATATCATTGGATGTTTTGGCCTTGAATGTTGATTAAGTGAATCACTGCACGTTTTGTGGTCCGATTGCTGGCCAAACCACTGAATGTTTTGCAATTAAATATATGAAACCACTGGAAAGGTTACAATCTGAATCCTTTTTAGATCCGTCATTGGATAGTTCGTGGCCAAAGAGAGATTGTTTAACTTTCATTGAATATTTATTCCTCAAGGCTACATTTTGCCTCCTCCCCTCCCCCGGGAACGGCTCGCAGTTACCGGGGGTGTGTGTGTCCTGTTTAGCCCCACCCACTTATTAGCATACGGCCCGCCCTGCTCTTGCGCGACCCGACCCGCCGCGCTGACGTCACGACGCCATTCCCCGGACCAAGATGGCGGCGCTTGGGCTACGGGCGCCCCTCCTGCTTCGCCCACGCGCCCCATAGCCAGTCGGGGGAGAGAAAGAGAGAGGGCGGAGGTAAGAGGGCGATAAAGGGGAGACGCTCCCCTTTCTCCATAGGGCCGGGCAGGTGGGTGCATGGGGGCCCGGGGGACGAGGGAGCGGGGAGGGTCAGCAGGGAGTTCCCCCCCTCCTCCTGTTTCCTGTGAATGCTTTTGCCTTCCCTGTGCCCGCGGTGATTAACGAAAATAACCACATTTCCTTTCCAGCCCTTGCTTGCGGGGAACTGGGGAGAGGAGGGGGTTGTTAAGCAGCAGCCGAGCAAGGGCTGAGGGTGAGGCAAGGATCCTGAAGTTAATGACGCCAATAACTTTTTCCAGCCACTGAGGCTGCTCTTAATAATCGCCTGGGACACACCGCTCCTGCTGTTAACCAGAAGGTGACTTTTTAGACATTGCAAACACTGTCACAACTTGTCCTGGCGGGTGCCTCGCCTTTCCACCATGGCTGTTCATTCCTCCTCGTCCCCTTTGCACCCTCATGGTGTCTGTTCTGTCTGTCTCATCTTGATGCAGTTTGGTAGGAACCCCTCTTCTGCTATTTCACAGTCAGCCCCAGAAAGGCCCAATGTCTGCTTCTCTCTTAATAACATGTCTACTTATTTTTTTTCTTTGTTTGTTTGCTTGCTAGCTTAAAGGAGCAAGGAAGGTGTCAAGGGACCATTGCCTCACAAAGGACATTCCCACCCCCAACAGCCTCTGTTTGTTTGTTTGCTTGCTTGCTTAAAGGAGCAAGGAAGGTGTCAAGGGGCCATTGCCTCACAAAGGACATTCACACCCCCAAGGGCTGACGGCCGCCTCTCCTACCTTGGGTTGATCGCTTTCCTCGTCGGGCAGCAGGTCATGGACGGCTCCTTCGTGCAGCACAGCGTGCGTGTCCTGCAGGAACTCAACAAGCAACGGGCGCGGGGGCAGTACTGCGACGCCACCCTGGCCGTGGGCAGCCTGGTGTTCAAGGCGCACTGGAGCGTGCTGGCATGCTGCAGCTCCTTCTTCCAGAGCATGTATGACGAAGCGTCCAGCAAAATTATCCTCCCCGAGACCTTTGTGGAAATCTTTGGCCTTCTTCTCGATTTCTTCTATACGGGGCACTTGGCGGTTACGCCTGAGAACTGGGAGAAGCTTCTTGAGGCGGCCAAGGAGCTCTCCGTCCCTGAAGCGGTCCGGTTGTGCCAGGAGTTCAAGCCATGGGGCGGCTTGGAAAGGGGTGACCAAAATGGCCAGCCTTCACCAGAGGACTCTGGGGTTTGCGCCAAGGCAGCAAAGGATGCTGAGGGGGAGTCAGCCTCCCTTGATGCTGCGGGCGAAAAGGACTCCGTGGAGGAAACTGGCCCCAGCCCCTGCGTCCAGGGGAGCCAAGTGGCCCAGGGACAAAGAGGGAGCCCTTGCCTCCTTCCGGCAAGGTTGAAAAGGGCTCCCCAAACGAACACACTGAGCAGTGCAGGTGAAGTAAAGAGCCCCCCGGAATGTAAAAGTCCAATGAAAAGAGGAGCCAGCGAGGAGGCGGGCGCCAGTAATGAGGTGGCGTGTGGAGTAATGTGCTAACTAGGGACTGCAAAACCATTCCTGTTACAGAACAAAGAGGCCTTAAAGCAGTGAGGATAGGTGACTGGAGGACAAGCGGGCTGTTTGCCCAGGAAGGGCTGGGGGGAAGGATGGAGTGACTCGCCTCCAGGGCTGGATGGGAGGGAGGTGGCGGCTGGGTTTATTGTAGGACTTCCAGCCTCTAGAAGCCTTGGGCTTGGGTCCTGGCAGACTCCTTTCCACATCAGCTACTGTCCCGCAGAAACAATTGCCGAGCCCAAGGAAGGCCGTTCAGTAGTCAGGTGAACCAAGGTTTCCTGGAAAGGCAAGCAGCTCTCTCTTGCCAGTTGGGCCTGGAAACGGAGACTGGAGGAGCAGACAAAGTGGCCTACTGCCCGATTTTGGTAACAGTTTTGCAGGTGTGCAGTCCCTGATCCACTTCCCAAGGGGTTGCATGCTGCCAGACTCGCAAGAAAGCAACAGGGGTCCCTGCTGGGAGCTGCAGCAACCCGTGTGAATGTTTTTGTTCTGTGGTGTTCTCCAGATTAGAATGGCTTCAGAGGATAGTTCCCAGGTCATCCACTGCATATGCCACCAGTGTGGGATAACCTGAGCAATTTGGGGTTTATAGCTCCAGCTATTAAGAGTCTGAATTCTGTCCCATAAGGTACAGCTTGAGAGAGGAAAAACCTGAAAGATGTGAGATGCAAAGCTTTTATGTTCTGGCCTTTTGCAAAGCTCTCAGGTCTATCTGAAGGACCGCATAACTGTCCGTAAATACAAGTTTGGATGACTTGAGTCTGAAGGTTGGATTCCTGACTAGATGCATGCAGGTTTTCATAGAGTGACACCCAGGCCTTCTCTGTAGGTCGTTCCTTTTTTTCTTGGTAACCATTTACATTTGGGACAACCTGTAAGAAAAAACAAATTGCAGCTGTTACAATCTCTCTTTGTTTCTCTGATATCAGTTTAAATCAGAGTAGGCAAATTGTGGCCCTGTATGGCGAGAGGCATGCTGGCAAATTCTAGTTTGGGACAGAAGTATCTTTCCTTGAGGGGTGGAGGTTGAACTTAATATAAGTCACAAGATAATCTGGGTTCAGATTTTGGCCTAAATCCAATTGTTTGTCCCAATAGCAGAGGATTTTTTTAAACTGGTTGCTGAATCCTTGTGTAAACTCCATTGATTCAACAGATCTCTGGTTGGGATTAGCAGTTCGATTTAGGTCTCTATCTGTAGGTGAATATTTGAGATTTCAAGTGTATCCCCACCCAGATGTAGGAAATGAATGCTTTATGCCTTGAATAGAAGCATAGTTGACTAACAGCTCCCTGTGGAGACTACTCATGTTGCTAACTCAGGCTGTACAGATACCTATGCACAAATCCCAATATACATGCTTTTTCCTGCCCTCCCTTCAGTTTGGAGAAGGCGTTCTTCATCTGTGATAAAAATTATACATGCATTTGACAGTATGCCCTTACCTGAGCATTACTGTGTGAATATTCTTTGATTTCATGTTAAACAACTTTTGTGTAGCTGTTCAGCCTGTTCCCCAGACTGTGAGAGAAAATCAACAAAGACTACACAACATCTTGTTTTTGAAGAGGTAGTTGTGTTAAATTTATTTCAGCAGCATCAAAAGCGAACCAAAGGGTAAAAGTGTCAAGGCCGCTTTAACTTATTTCACTGTGAGCTTCCATATACCACAATCCAATTCTTCATATGCATGCTGAAGAATTATCTTGAAAACGGAGTGGGAATCCACGAAGGCTCACCCTGGAACACCTTGCAGTCTTGTTAAAGGTGCCATGTTCCCTTTGCTTCTGTCACTGAAGAGTCCTGTGACAGCTAAAAGACAACCCATATTGTTTTACACAAACTTTCACACCTTTGAAGAATTATCTTCACCTTTAAGGTGCTACAAGAAGATTTTGTGCTGTTTGGGGCAACAGGCTGCAGACTTTCAATGGCTGCCCTTCTGGAAGTTTCAAGCAGTTTGAACTTTTGAAAATTTGTTCACCTACATCTCCATTTGCACAGGGTTCTTTACTGATTAAAATATAAGCTTTTCAAATTTGGCCTTAAATATACTCTTAGCTAATTAGGAGGTCTGCAATTAGTATCTGTTTATCTCTTTTCAACCATTGTGCTAAATGATCATTCTGAAACATTTGGCTTTGTTTTTGTTTTTTAAAAGCCTTGTTGGTCAAGTGTCTTTTGACAGATCGGCTGGCTCGCCTTCGTGGGGCATTCTGTTAACTGTGGTGGAAAGTGAGGCCATGTTGTGGCGATGTGAAGAAGTAACTTCTGCCCCCTGCTTGGTCTTCTTTGCAGCAGGAAACACAGGAGGCTCTGGGGTTAAGTGAGGCCCCTGCAGAAGAAGACAGGGGAGGAAAGGGGAAGAAGGAAATAGATGAGGACTACCTCCCTAAGAAGAAGAGCCTGCGGGCCAAGAGGAAGCCTCGTCTGGCCAGGAAGCCCACCAACTCCAAGGTCATGGTGGGGAATGGCAGCCTGTTGGAGGCTGGGGTGCTTGGCAGCCGGAGAGGCACAACCGAGCCAGTGGAATGCCCCACCTGCCATAAGTCGTTTCTCAGCAAATACTATCTCAAAGTCCACAACAGGCAAGTGCATGCATTGGCTGTGAGTAGGGGCGGGGAGAGTGGGGGATGATCACAGTGAACAACAGAGAGCCAACACATTTCATTTGGTCTAAGCTTTCTGGGGGGAGGCCAGAGGCTCCAGCAGGTGCTTCAGAGAGAGGGAGAGAATCTCTCAGAGAGGTGGTGGAACTCCCAAACTAGAAATTAAGGAGCTCAGCCCTGTATTAAAGGAAGGCAAACCTAGGAAGAGAGAATGTGTGTGCGTGGTAATAAGTTAGATTCCAGCTGGGGTGCTCATCAGTAAAATTGCTGGTTGGTCAGAACTTATGTAGAGATAGCAGAAAGCAGAAGATGAAACTGCTGGCCTTCTGGGTGCAGTCTGGAGCAAGGGAGGGCAATCCCTGAGTAGCACAGACCTTGAACTAGTGGGATTTATGCAAGTGTTGATTTATCGTTCAGCAATAGATTCAGTGGCCCTTTCCTAGCTGACACTCATATTTGCATTTAGGCCATTGACTGGAGCCACTCGTGGGCCTATATGATTTGCTCTTTCTACTGCATATGAATTTTTTTTGTACTCTTGCCTGCAGGAAGCACACAGGAGAGAAGCCTTTCGAGTGCTCCAAGTGTGGGAAATGCTACTTTCGAAAGGAAAACCTTCTGGAGCATGAAGCTCGAAACTGCATGAATCGTTCAGAGCAGGTACGTGTGGAGTGGGGGGCGGGGAGAGAGGTTACAGCTGATTCAGAGAGCAAACTCCAGCCTGGAAGCAGCAGCCCCAGTAGTCTGGACTTGGGCAGTTAGCTCAAGCTATGTGCTGCTCGGGAGAAAGGTCTGGATGCAGGGTAGGGGGTTCACACTCAGCTCAAGGCATTGGCTTAGCCCTTCAAGTGGTGAGCTATATATAGGCAGCCATTGATGTCACAGCACAGAGCCTGACAGAACAGGGCTGGGAGCTTGATGGATCCTCGTACAGGAAGGACAAGACAGATCCTCTCTCACCTAAATGAGGAACTAGGGCAGCAGTTCAACAACGATAACAATATTTGTGGTTAGCATGGAGAAAACTAGAGTTCCAGCTTTCTGCCCCAGGGGACCAAGAAACACAGGAGCAGAAGCCAAGGGAACAGTTGTTCCCCACTTGTCTGATCTGGGTCAGGTCTGGGGCAGACAGTGGGGCTGCACAGGGGGAGGCAGGGGGGTGCTGAGCCCTAGAAGAGCAGTGGGGCCTTGTTCTCTTTTCACCACACAACTTCAGGTAGCTTGTAGGTCCTGGTCTGGGGGTTCAGTGGTTAAACGTGGGAGGTTCGTGGTTGATCTAAACTCAGTTGCAAGGGAAAGGAAGGGGAGGTGAAATTCTGAATCCAGGTCTTGTGTCGAGAAAGACAGGGAACTGCTAGCATTAGAAATCTCAGTTGCAAGGGAAAGGAAGGGGAGGTGGAATTCTGAATCCAGGTCTGTGTTGAAAGAGACAGGGAATTGCTAGCATTAGAAAGCATGTCCTGGTCTAGGCAAAGGCTTTTGTTCTTTCTTCTTGAGAGCCAGGTGAGTCTTCTGCAGGGAGGGAGCCCATGATTCAGCCCTTTGCCACTGCATGCCTGCCTTGGATATGCAGATGTGTTTCCTAGGAAGCAGTAGGTCAGTGCAGAGATCTTTCTGTTTTTCTTTCTCTCCTTCTCTGCTCTATGAAGATCTTGCTTCCTCTTCCCTCCAGGTTTTCACCTGCTCCATCTGTCAAGAGGCGTTTAAAAGGCGGATGGAGCTGCGGCTGCACATGGTGACCCATACGGGCGAGATGCCATATAAGGTCAGCTTGGATTGCCCTTGAGAATAGATTGACTGGAGCCATGCAACGGCTAGCGGTTCTGAGCCCAGGAGTTCTGGATTCAATTGTCACCTTTGCTGCATAGTCGCTATGGTTGGCTTTGGACAAAGCCACTCCGTTTCCTTCTTCCTCACTCCCTCTTCTCAAAGTGGATATTAGTTCACAATTACTTTTTTTATAGATGTTTACCTTCCAGGAGTCCTGTAAGGCTTACTGCGATAATGCGTATTTAGAAATCTACATGTACAGTACATGCTAGGCACAGACATAAAGATGGATGTCAGGCGCTTAGCATTTTTTTAAAAAAATAGCTACAGTGTTGATTCCTTCTTGTTTTTTTTCTCCTACCCAGGAGTTAAAATGAACTGCTGGGTGAAGTAACGAAAGACGTTTCAACTTGTTTCAAAATGAGCATCTGGCTTTCACGAAACTCAGCCCATTTTTTACCCACCCCCCCCCCAAAAGATTATGAGATCCTTGCTTGGGAAGTCTCTTTGGACCAGTAGTGGTCAACTCCACTTCCTTCTTTCCCCCATTTCTGTTGGTGGGAGGGAGGGAGTCGGGTTGCTGTGCCCAGTGCCACATTCACTTCACCTATTTACAGGTTCCTTTTTTCTTTTTTGATGCTAGAAGCAGAGCCTGGTTTGACTGGATAAGGCAGGCTTCACCTGCCTTTTTTGCAAAGGGCGATCCACTAAGCTGGGGTGGACATGTGTCTTCCCAAGCCATTTTTGAGAAGCTGGGAATTTTGCTCCTTGAGGCTTCCAGGAGTTCTTTGAAAAACAAAACAAAATCTAAACAGTATTTTTAGAAGCTTAAAGTAGATAAGGGGACACAAAGAAACAAAATAGGAAATGGATATTCAGGGACTTCCAGTTTGGATTTTGGGGGTGAAGGAACTTCCGTGGACGTAAGACATTTCTGCATTCCTCCAAGACTATTCTAAGCAAAACATGTGGCCCTCTGCCTGCAAAAGTTGTTTACTCCTGCTGTGTGATTCCTGTGTCTTCCAGTGCTCTTCCTGTGTCCAGCAGTTCATGCAAAAGAAGGATCTCCAGAGCCACCTGATCAAGCTGCATGGAGCCCCAAAGCCTCATGCGGTAAGAGCTGACTGCCCTGGGGAAGGGATTGGGCAGAGTCGGTGCCGTGGGGTGGGCCTTCTTGAAGATTGGGGGGGGGGAGCTAAGATTTTGGAGGATAGGGAAGAGATGGTTTCGGGCACCTTCAGGGAAAGAACAAACAGGCCACAAACTCCACGACACATGCTGCTGTCCATCCTATTCCAAGGTCCACAGGAATGAGAAAAAGTTGGAATCCACAGGCTGACAGTACCTTTATCAGAATCAACTGTAAATTCACAAAACTTTCAGGTTCACCAGAATTCTTTATTGTGGAAATCCAGAATTGTGGCTTGATATTCTAAGCCACAGTGACCTGGAGGTAAGCTCAGTCCAAAGATTGAAACCTTAACCCTTACTTCCTTACTTTCTTGAGTATGGCATTTAATCACAGATCTCCCTAGTTTAAAAAAACCTAGCTGAATGAAGCGTTCTGGATAACTTGAAAGCTTGCCTCTGCCATGAATATTCCACTATTTTTTCCAAAGCTGCTGCCCACCTGTGGGTTTTGGACTTTGTTGGATTCCTCTTGTCCTTCCTTCAAGTTACTGAAGAGAGAACTGAGCTGTGCTGGTCTGAGCCAGCCAGGAAAGAGATGGCCTCTGTTGGTCCCTTCTGTCTCACTGTTCATCTCCCTTCCCGCCAGTGCTCTGCATGCTCCAAGTGCTTCCTGTCTCGAACCGAATTGCACCTCCACGAGGCATTCAAGCACCGTGGGGAGAAGCTGTTTGTTTGCGAAGAATGTGGTCACCGGGCCTCGAGTCGCAATGGACTGCAGATGCACATCAAAGCTAAACACAGGTGGGCCGAGACATCTGCTGCACCCCATGGTAGCAGAGATATGAGGAAGGGCTCTGTGTTTAGCAGCAAGCCATTGGGGTTGCTGTGCTGCAGCATGACTCCTCTTCCTCCTCCTCCTGTGATCCCTGCAGGAATGAGCGCCCCTATGTGTGTGAGTTCTGCCAGCATGCCTTCACCCAGAAGGCAAACCTCAACATGCACCTTCGGACCCACACTGGAGAGAAGCCCTTCCAGTGTCATCTCTGTGGCAAAACCTTCCGCACCCAAGGTAGGACCAACACCACCCCCTCTGCTGTTACCCCTGTGGGGCGCAAGTGCTCTGTGGGCTGCTACCAACAGGGTAGTGCAAAGCACGTGGGCTGACTGAAGTGACTGTGTTGCAGAAGAGGTCCTCCCCTCCAGACTCAGTGTCAGGAAGACCGAGGAGCCACTTGCTTCCTGATTTTGAGCCTGAGCGATGCTCTCAACGGCCCCTCTCAGCGCTCCTTTGTCTGTCATCCCCAGGAGATCTGTTCAGGCAGGAGGGAGGCAGAACGTGTGACTCTTAACACCTGGGGGCTGAATGGCACCTCGTGGATTTAAGTTAAATTTTGGTGGAGGAATCTTGCGCCACTTGGAACTTTATTTGGCTGAAGATTTTGTGGACTCTAGCCTTTGAAAATGTGGGCTCCCATCCACATGAAGGCCTGAGCCAAATTCAACTTATTACTCTTCCAGGCATCTTAGAACTCTTGGTTTTCTCTGAGTAGAGAACTTCCTCAACTGAGGTCTCTCTTTGAAAACTGGTGGCTGGGAGCATTTCCTGTGGAGTCAGGCTCCACGCAGCAGCTGCTTCTGTGCTTTGTGGGCAGCTTGAGCGGTGAAGGGAAAGATACAGGCCGGAGAGGTGGTAGGGCTTCCTTCCTGCTTTGAGTTATTTTATTTATTCATTCATTTATTTATTTGATTTATACCCTGCCCATCTGGCCTAAAAGACCACTCTAGTTACCTTCCGGTGTACTTGTTTTCATCAGCCAGCCTGGACAAGCACAACCGGACCCACACTGGCGAGCGCCCATTTAGCTGCGAGTTCTGTGAGCAAAGATTCACAGAGAGAGGCCCTCTGCTGAGGCACATTGCCAGCCGGCATCAGGAAGGGAGGCCTCACTTCTGCCAGATCTGCGGGAAAACCTTCAAAGGTAATGACACGGGAGAAGATCTGAGAGGCAGGGCTAGAAGGGCTCTCACACGAGGTAGTGTTCCTTTGCTTCCTGTGGGGTTGGGAAGGATCCCTGTGCAGCCGTTTCCTTCTCCAGTTAATGAGAACCTGATTGGCAGGATGACCTATTCATTGTTGGAGGTGGCAGTAGATTGGAGTGGGAATGAGGTGGCTCTCCAAGCATGGCTGAACTGGAACCCCATCTTCAGACTCCAAGCACACAGAGTTGTCCCGTGTTTTATTTATGGATGCCATGCACAGCTGGGTCTGATTAAAAGCTGGATGGGAGGCCATCAGAAACTAGTTGGGATCTTGACAATTGGCTAGAGAAGAATCTTGACTGAAGCTCTTTGAGGGTCTCCAGTCCTGGGCTAGAAAGACCAAGAGTTTGGGATTCAGTGGAAGGCAGCTTCCTCATTTCCTGACTTCCAGCTTTGGCACTCCACCTCCCTGAACCAATAGAGAGGAATGGAGTGGCAGTCCAGTGACATCTGGAAGGCTGCACATTCCTTATCCCAGAGCTCCCTGGCAGGAAGCCTTTCTGTCTGCTAAGCGATTTCCTTCAGGCCAGGGTCAGCCTGCGCTCTTTGCCAGCAGCTGACTAACAGTATTGTCTTCTCAGCGGTGGAGCAGCTGCGTGTCCATGTTCGAAGGCACAAAGGGGTGAGGAAGTTTGAATGCACGGAATGCGGCTACAAATTCACACGACAGGTATGTGTGCATATGTGCTTTCATGAGCATTTTGACCAAGCCCGACTCACTTGAAACTGAGATTGTGGTTGTGAAAGATGCCACATGGCCTTTCTCATCTCTCCTTTTCTTCTTCTGGCACACTTTTGCCATGGAATCTGTACCAACTTTTCAGTGAAATATTTTCTATAGCCCACCTCTATTCTAAGAATTTGATCTGTTACCGAGTGCTTCTAGTTCTTTAGAGTGCTTTGAGTGGTTACTGCTGTCTTTACAATGATCTGTGAAACACAACAGTGTAATTATTCCTCTCATATTGACGTAGAGTTAAGGCCACTTTTTGAAAGACCCCACCATGAGTTTGTGGAGTAAGTGAATTGTGGGAAAGGAGACCTCTTAATCTGCAGACCAGCCACTGTCCCATGCTACTGCTCTCCAGGGCATTTCATCATCACAAAGGAGTGTACGACTGTCCTCTGGGGCCGTACCACCCTAAACACTGTTATTCTAATGATGCTAAGCAGGGTTGAGAGTTGTTCATACCTGGGTGGGAGACCACTGAGGATCTCCAGAGAGGGATATGAAAGAGAATCCTGTGGGGGGGAAGCCTTGCTGCCAGTCCAAGTGGGCAGGTCTGGGCTAGGTAACTTGGCAGAAGGCAGATTCTGGTAACAGGACACAACCCTGAGTTGCTGTGTGCCAACAGTTCATCCTTTTTTTCTTTTCTACTCAAGGCCCACTTGAGGCGCCACATGGAGATCCATGACCGGGTGGAGAACTACAACCCCCGCCAGAGGAAGCTGCGCAATCTCATCATCGCAGATGAGAAGGCGGTAGTGGTGGCCCTGCAGCCTCCCCATGCGCTGGAGGAAGTGGGCTCTGCAGAAGTTATTGTGGAGTCACTGGCCTCTGGGTCCCTGAGTGAGGAGCTCCCTGAACAGAGACTCTGCGCCAATGAGAATTTTGGCTCCCCGGACGTAGTTGAACAGTCGCTTATTATTACCATCCCAGATGACTGTGAAACGTAGCAGCTTCTTCCTGTAAATTCCTTTTCCTAATAAAGCTGGGTGGCTTGCACCTTTCTGTGGCTTGTCGGTGATCCTAGCCCCACAGAAGACACAGGAGTCTGCTTCGTGTTGGGGAGGGGGGAGGGAAGAGACGGAGGGTAGGGAGCAGCTGGGGCCTGAGAAAATTTCTGAGCCCTTTTGCCTCCTTCCTAGTGAGACTCAGCAGCAACGGTATAAAATAAGTGTGTATGTGTGTGTAGAGGGGGAAGTGGGTAGTGGTGGATGGTGGACTGTGTACGCACCAAGCATTCCTTCATTCTTGATAGAGAATGCAAAGTGGGATCCCTGATTGGTGGTGGGGCACCAGCATTCCTTCATTCTTGATAGAGAATGCAGAGTGGGATCCCTGATTGGTGGTGCTCTACAAGTCAAAAGGTCTCATATTCCGTAAAATATCCAGGCAGGGTTGGGTGAGAATCTCGTCTGAAACAAGGCAGAGCCAATATGAAAGTTTATGCAGAATTATTTAAAGAAAAAAAGTGATTAGATTAAAAGACTTGGTTGTATAAAATGAGATCGAAAGATCAAATGAAACAAATCCTTCCAAATAAGAAGACATCATGGTTGAATTATATGCAGTTAAAAAGATGGACTAATGAATGGGTTAAGAAGTATAATAAAGGTAGAGAATATACGAAGTATGAACAATTTCTATTATTATATGAAGATATTCAGATGACCAATTCAGTAAAGCATGCAGTGAGTGAAATTTATAGATTCCTGCTTGTTCTAGAAGAGACTGAGAAAGAAGGATTGAAGTTAGTGTGGGAACAAGACTTAGAAAAAAGAATAAATGATGAAGAATGGAGGGAGATGTAGAAAATGAGGGTTTTACGATATATGTCAGTGAGAATAAGATTTTTTTTACATTGGGTTTAAGATGGTATTTGACACCGACAACATTGAATAAAATTAACGCTAGTTATCTGAATGTCTGTTGGAAATGTGAGAAGGAAATTGGTACATACTTTCATATGTGGTGGGAATGTGAAAAAGTACAAAGATTTTGGAAACTAATCTTTAAAGAACTAAATGATATATGTGAAAAAAATAAAATTTAATCCTGAGATAGGTCAATATTTGAGAACGTGGAATATGATGACTAGAGAATTGATAATCAATTTATTAACAGCAGCCAGATTAATAATAGCTAGGAACTGGAAATCGAAGTCTGAATTTCAAATGTAAGAATGGTATAATGAAATATGGAACACTCCTATAAATAAGTTAACTTGTAACTTAAAGGTAAAGAAAGGAGAGATGAAAAAATATTTTTATGATACATGGGGCATATTTCTTAATATGTACTAACAAGAGGAAAAGGGAAACTCCAAATCAAGAATCAATGCAGTTCCTGAGAAGAAGACAATAAAGGAAGAAGTAATAAAGAAAGAGGAAGAAGAGGATTACTGCAAGAGGTCCTGACTATGGTGGTGGGGAACATAGCTGATTTATATTTTGGTTTATGTATTTTATATTTATGTTGTAGTTTAAGAAAAAAATACACCACCACCACCCCCCGAAAAAATAAGGTAGAGCAGTGGATGCCAGCTGGAGTTGGCAATACGGACTAAATATCCTTGATGCATCTAGTATTGGGTGGTGAAATTGGCAAAAACTATGGCCATTATTTTTCTATACCAAAAGCCACAGATGCAGCATAAAAACTTTGCTCACACAAATCCTGTGCTGGTACCAATGCTGTGCAGGTTAAATTAGCTTACATGCTGTCTGAGCAAGCAGAGACAGAAGGTAGCATGAAACAACTCAGTGGTTTAGGTCTCTGGCTGTGTAGCCAAGGTTGGGAGCTTGCTTGACGGTGCTTTCTTGACAGGCTGAACCCAAGGACCTATAGGGTCCCTTCCAGCTCTGCATTTTTCAGATTTTTATTAGTACTGCTAAGGTGTCTGGGTGAAGTGCTAAATGCAGCCTGTTACTCTCTGGGTGCTACAGATGTGAGAATTTGCAGGATGACTAGCACATGGTATAATTTTGTGGCAAATTCACACAGTCTTGTTAACAAGCATTCTCAGTTATTTAAATAGACAGAAATTCCTTAAGCACACCTTTATTTAACACATTATTTTAAAGGTTAAAAGGGTTGTGTGTGTTTTGTTTTTTTTACAAAATGTAAGATAATACTTTTGTTTCAAAGGACATTATAACAAAATATTTAAGGCCAAACACAGCTATCTGCACTAAAGTTAAATAATAAATACAAGGTTATTTGGTTCTAGAGCTTCGAAGAGGATAAAGATCTGGCACAGAATAGGACAAAAGTATCCTGTACAACCCAGCACAAAAATCAGGGTGGATAAAAATAAATGATCATATAAAATCATTGATTTAAATCCCAAATATTGTTGTTTCTTTGGATATAAATCATTTTTTAAAAATGCAATCTTTGAATTTAAATCAAATGCACCCTGATGAAAATTAGCTTTACACATGAAGTGATACTAAATCAAGTTGTTGCAAGTCAGCAGCAGCAGCTCAAATGTCTGTAAACAGCTGGAACCTAAGAGAAAGCAACCCCTTCCTAATGTATCCTTCCCTCAAAGGAATGGGGAGGGTGGGCACAAGAGGGTTAGATTTCAGCATTGCTGGGGAAGTGGGGACAAGGGACGGCTGGACATAACATTTGACGAAAATGAAGCTGCAGGGTTCCTGTCACTCAGAAGGATGATGGAGGGTGTGGGTGACAAATACCCCTCCCCCACCAAAAGTGGCTTTCTGCTCCTGGAAATCCTCCAGGTGCATTGGTTTTGCATGCAGGTTTAGCCCTCACAAAACTGTGTCTATTCATTTCTCTCTTGGTACATCCCCTTCCTTCACTAGTGCAAAGAGAGTTCAGGAGCAGCATCTCCCTCCTTGCCTCTCACTTTGCTGCCGCTTGAGTATATGCGTGAGAATCCTATAAATAAATGACCAATTTTCCTGCAGCTTCCTGATGGTTTGCTGTGCACCAGAAACAGCCATGTGTGGCTCTGTGCTCTTGGTGCAACAGCATCCACCTAAACCTGAGGGCAGCAGCAGAGGGTCCTCATACCACCTCAACACCTTTGTTCCCTTGATGCAAACTGAGCATTGCTTAAAGCTACCTTGCATGAAGACCCTGCTTAGCTGGGAGATCCTTTTTTTTAAAAAAAAATGAGCCTCCCTAGCTCACTAAAAAAAATGCCTCACCAAAGCTGGCCACTCAGGGTATGGATGTGAGAGGATGGTGTCCTAAATGAAACAGTAATTTTGATGGGGTCTGCAGGGCGCCAGCAATCATGCTGTGATCCTCCAGCAACAACAGATGAAGCAATGGGTTTGTTGCAGAGCACAACACAATGCTGCTTTTTATTTTTTAACAGAGTGTGTGTCAATTCAAGCCTCATAAGAACAAGCGGAGACCCTCCACAGAGAAGAATTAGACGAAGCTTCTCTTGATTAAGAGATGCTGGTTCAAGTGAAATACAAAAAGTCAAGCTCAGTTGTAAAAATAAGTTAAAACTAGACCTTTGCTAAATGATACAAAACAGTGGAAGTTCTCAGAGAACAATTCCACTCAGTGACTTGGAGGTAACTAATCTTCTCAAAAGCATAAAGGCACCCAAGTAGTTTGGCATGTGCAATCTGCTGCTACTTCCTTCGATGAGTATCGAGAGCTCTCCTGTTACTGCTTCAAAAGAGGTGCAGCTTCCACATCAAAAGTATTACTGGCATCTACGCCGTTTCTACTCAATGTTCAGAACAGACCACCTTATCAGAGACTGTTCAGAATATGCATAAGGTTTAGGTTCTTCTTGTCATTCTTCCCAAGAACACACAGGCCTTCCCTGCTCTTTCCTTATCACTTGCTCAATGTGCATTCTCTTCAAAACACATCCCTGAAAGGCATTAAAAGGTGCCAGCGGGGAGGATGACAAGGTATTCAGCCTGGATGCCAAAATGTTTCCCAAACGCTACAGGGACCTCCATATCCAGGTACTGACTGATTAGCCTGTCTTTTCCCTTGGCTTCCTCCTCAACGGGCAATCCCCTAGTTTTAACAAATGCTCCACTGTTTCCCGCCTTTTCTATGACAGGTCTTGCAACAGCTCTCTTAACATGGGAACGATTAAGGTATAATCTTTCAGGAGGACTGGTGGGAATTATAAATGAACTGTGATGGAGTCAAAGAGGGAGGGATTCTCAGCATCTGCTCTCCTCGTTGGACTCCAGCAGGAGACTCTCCTGGGACCATTCTGCAGTTGTTGGAGTGTCCTTTTGCAGCATGAGTCTTTGCACCCAGTCCCTGGTTTGTTAGATCAAATAGGGGCTGGAGAGACACACTCTCCCCTCAGTTTTCCAGAGGCAAATGAAACCTGCTGATCACACTTTTAACTGCTCCTCTGAGGCCTGGTTGTGCACCAGGAAGGGAGGACAGAAATGCAAGTGTAGCACACTGGCTGAGGAAGGAACTGAGCCATGGGGCACCTTAAGAATGCCACAGGTTGGCTGCAGGAGCTGCTTCTGATGGCAGCTGCTTCCCCATTATTTTGGGGGAATACCACCACCCCCAGCAAGGTCTCCCCTCTGATTCTACTGTGGTGAGGGTGAGGGAATGACAGTGGAGTCTGCTTCTGACCACCAAGCCACACTAAGTGCCTCAATCTGGAATCCAACCCCACATGTCCAAGATCAGCAGCCAAAAGCAGCAGAGGAGCAAAGAAGCAGAATGTTCCCAGTTCCTGGTTTTCAGCAACCTATGTTGTGTCTATAGCAGTTCCCAAAACATTTGAGACACCCAGAAACTCTGTTACCATCATCCAGTTCTCTTGTACCAAAATTTGACTTCATGATTTAAAATTAAACACAGCTGGTTTTTTGGGGGAGGGGAGTTTGATTACTAGAACATAGACTATCACAGAAAGCTGTTTGCGCTGATAAAATTTTAAACTTCCTGTCTCCTGCTTCCCTTCTATTTTTTCCAGCGACCACACCCCACCAAAGCACACCTCCTCAGATTGAGAACCAAGGGTCTTTAAGTTCCAAACAGCAAATGAAGTTTGCCAGGAACGTCTGCTGGTAGCCTACATCTGTCCAGATGTAGCCAGTGACCCATCACTGCATTCTGTGGCTGGGAACTTTCTGTTCTTTAATTCTACATTGGGTGAAGAAGCAAGAGAAGCAAAACTTCTTTTTACCTACCTTCTCTGGACCATGCATAATTTTACAGACTACTGTCAGGTCTTTATCCCCCCTTTCCCCACCTAACCCAAAAAGCCCCCACTGATGTTGGCGAGCTGGGAGGCACTGCCATTTGTGGGTCAGAGTGCAATCCCTGAAAGCTGAGCAGACACACCCTCTATTCAGTTTAAAGAAGGCTGCCCATGGATTTATCTAATCTATGCCACCCTTCAGTTGACCCAATAAGACACCCCCTGATGTTCTCACGAGAATGGGGCCCAAACAAAGCTCTTGACGAGAGGTTTCCAGCTCTTACATGAAATCCTGGGGTAGATGAGCTAAAAGCCAAATTTCCCCTTCTTCCCCAGCTTTCCTTTGGTGCGAATTCACCTGAAAAGCTGCCCTTCTCTGGCCAAGAGATGGGAAGAAGGTTGGAAGGCTGGTGATCTCGAAGAAATCCTTTGCAACCAAAGAGGAGTCCTCTCTGACCATGAGTCCTCCTCTGCACACCTCAGTCCTCAAAGCTCTCTGCCTGCCTCCTGAAGGAGGGATCCTGGATCCTGTCAACACACTGACTTAAAAACCTCAGGCACAAGTGTTCCCCTGTTAACGCAACTCATTCAAATTCTGATTGTGGAGATTCTGGAGCTGTTGGTTCAAGCTGAAGGCATTATCCAAAGGGCGCTCCTCTTCCTCTTGCAGGGTCTCTGGCATAAACTGTCGGAAAATGCTGACGCTGCTGTGCCAGAAGATCGGCTCTGGCAGTTTCCCTGCCACACTCCACTTTCGCGTCTCAGGATCGTAACATTCCACCATACTTGACAGCTCAAACGTATTGTCATAGCCACCAGAGACGTAAAGCTTCCCACCAAGCGCAGATAGACTTCCCCCAACGTGCACCTGGAAGTAAAGAAGGGGAAAAAGGACAGATTTCCTCCTTATTTTTTAATCTGCTTACATTCAGAACTTTAGTTTGGCTGGAATCCAGAACTGTACACTTGCTTTGTTAACTTTTCTTTCTTTCTTTCTTTCTTTCTTTCTTTCTTTCTTTCTTTCTTTCTTTCTTTCCTTCTTTCCTTCCTTCCTTCCTTCCTTCCTTCCTTTCCTTCTTGTCTGTCTTTTATTCTTTTTAGTTCTGGCTGTCTTCCATCCTCTATTCCTGTCTTCTGAAGTTTTACTTCCTAATTTTATTTTTATCTCCTAGTTTCATTTGCTTATTTATTTGTTATGTTCAGATCTTAGGGAATGGACACGGCTCTCCTCTTCCTTCCCATTTCAGTCTCACGCAACAACCTTGTGAAGCAAGTCAGGGCGAGTGGCTCAAGGTCACCATGCGAGTTTCAGGGATTACTGGAGACTGGACCCCAGCCCTCCCAAGCCTGTCCCAAACTCTTTTGATTCTCTGAAAACATCACTAGCCCCCTTTAAAAGATTCTTAGCACATTACCTGGAGCATAGAAGGGATTTTGTCCCATTCATTCTTTGCCGGGTTGTAGACATCCACTTCAGCAGAGTCATCTCTATACAAGGAAAATGAAGACAAAAGCTACTGAAAAAACAACAACGGAAGGTCTAATGGTTGTTCTGGGTTTTTCGGGCTCTTTGGCCGTGTTCTAAAGGTTGTTCTTCCTAACGTTTCGCCAGTCTCTGTGGTCGGCATCTTCAGAGAACAGCAACGGAGGGTCTGTTTGGCACTACTCTGCCTCTCTGCTTCATGCCTAGTGGGGCCCAATCCACCCACCTCTGGTTTGCTCAGTAAGATCCTGGGTCCCATGGTGCTAGGTGCAAGGGGTAGGCTCAAGGTCTCTAGGTTCTGTTCCAAGTACTTTAGAACATAAGATTCTCTCCAATAAGACTTGGGCAAAGAGAGGACAATAGGTAATGATATATATGTATTCAGTACCAAAAGGTGGCTGTCTGCACTTTCTACACTTGCCCACTGAGCACTGTGGATTAGTTCGATAAATGAGAGCTTATCTCTTCCCACAAAAGCCCAATTATTCATATTTTAGTAGTCTTACAGGAGAGTAGCAAAACTAGACATTTGGGGCGTGACCCAAACATCCACACCCAGGTTCCTATCTAGTCTTTCGGATTCCTAATTTAGGAAGAGCTACAATTCCAAATCTTTTGGAATTCCCTCATCAGGAGCAGAAAGACAGGGCAAGCACCTCCTTTTCTAAAATATACAGCAAATTTTAGGAATCTGATGATGCAGACAGAAGCATGTGGAATACAAGTCAGTGAGTAGAGGCCTCTCTCTCTTTTCACAGGGGTGCCCTGTTGCAGCCATGGGGGTACAAATCTCCAAAATATCACTAGCAACGTGCAGATGCAGACACTGACAAGTCTCTCTTGAAGGTTTAAGGCACTACCAGCACTGAAACAAATCACTTGATGTTTTTCAAAAGAATATGCCTCTTTCTGATAATCCAGAATAAACTAGATGGTGATGGTGCAAGCAGCAGGTGGAATCATATGGCAACAGAAGCTAGAAAGGGTTTTCACATCACTTGGAGACAGCCTGGATACAGCTTCCATAAGGAAGCAGGCTACAGGGAAATTCTCTGCTCTACCAAAACCTCCAAAAGTGAAGCAGGGAAAAAACCTTGTGGCACCTTAAAACTTAACAAGGCCTTTTTGGCATAAGCTTGTGGAAAGCCAAGTAACACTTGCTAGCCTTTAAAGGACCACAAGACTCTTTGCTGTCTTGACTTCAATAGACCTACACTCCCAGCTGATGGGGGGTGGGGGTGGGATTTCTCACTATCCTTCCTTTTATGGCCCACATGCCTAACTGAAAGAATGCTGACTAAGAATTAAAAGTGACTGTGAATCTTTTGTGACTGTACATTTCTGTACAGTTATACAAACTCTTGATGAAAGAAATGATTCAAATGCAGCTGCCTACACCCCACTGTTCTTTCGGCATTTAGTGGCCATTAGGGCCCAAGCATGCCACCATTGCCACAGGCAACTCCAAGAACTATGTATCTTCAAATTCTGAACAGCTATAGCCCACAAAAGCTTGTGCCAATTAAACTGTAAGTTTTCTAAGAACTACAAGCCTTGTTTTTTTCAGTGTCAAACAAAAAAAGGGGAGAAAGTGTGTGCTTCCCTTTCTCACCCCCTCAATGTCTGCAGTGCTCAGCTTGAAGAAGAGTCCTCCTGGATTCAAAAGCTTGCTTCCTTACTTTCAATATTTTAGTGGTCCACCAACCACTAAAATATTACTGCCTTTGCTTCTGGAGTTTGTTGCCTTTTGGCTGTGTTTTATCTCGTCTATTGACAGGGAAGTTCAATGACTGATCAGTGAGTCTACTTTATTTTAAGGGGTTATTCCATTTTCTGGAAGATGCTGGGCTCTTCCTCCACCCATGTCTCTGCTTGCTCTGTTCACAAAACAGGAAATGTGACAGTGACAGATGGGAGCAGCGGGTGACAAAGGCAGTCACATTATTGACCCTGACCTGCAATGAAGCAGCCCAGCAAAGTTGCTCCAAACTTGCAGCTAAGATTTAATCCTAAAATGACAGCCTGCCACTAGACTGGTTCCTCAAACCTTCCAGATCCTGTCCGAGGTTAGCAACTAGGATCCTTGTCAGACGTGTTTGATCAGCTTTCTTTATGGAACAAATGTGTTAAGAGCATGTTTTTTATATAAAGGACACTGAAGATCAAAATTCTATGCTCTCAGGAAGTCAGGGAAACCAAGGATCATCCGGGGGGTGGGTGGGACACAAACCCAGCAAACAGACACTTGGCTGGAAGCTTTTAAAGCAGTTGCTGCCACTTTCTCCCTGCCCTGGGAGCTATGACACTTTACTGGTGCCTGTGCAGGAATTTAAAGCATTTCTCAAGGCCAAGCTCTGGAGGGTTGCAGCACAATCATCAGAGCCTCTAGCAGCTCTGCAGTGCTAGCAGCTGCGAATTTAGGAGGGGCGAGGGGGACCCATAGCTTAGAGTGAATTCTAGTAGAAGATTCTAAAATTCCAGTTTGCTGCTCACTGGCAAGTGCTGAAGAACAGCAGATCTTTCCTGGTGCTTAGAAGACATACTGCCACACTACCTGGCACATACCTGATCCTGTCTGGTTTTGAAAGCTAAGCAAAGTCAGACCCAACTAGTCCTCGGATGGGAGATCCCTTCAGAGAATGCCTTGGAATTCTGCCTAAAGCACTGGAATAGTCAATGCGGCAGGTCAGTGCTGCTGATGCCAGGCAAGAAAGATCAAGGAGACTCTCTCTCTCAGCAGAAGGCAGCTTCCTAAGTTTCCTCTGTAAAGTCACTTCTGTTGTCAGGCCAAGGATGTTTCACTCCTTTCGTGTCAAAAAAAAGCTGCATTTCAGTGATGGGGAGTCTGCTTTGTACACAGAAGGGTCCACATTCAATCCCCCACAGCATCTCCGCACAGTACCAGAGAGAAAGGGGGAGCAAAGGGCTCTGTGAGATCAGCCAGGCAGGGCAAAAAGCAAAGCTGAACTGAGACAAAAGAAACTCCCAATTCTCTTCCCAAAGCCTCAAACTCATCAGGTGACGCAGCCTGGCAACCACTTTTTAACTGCCATAGTATAAGGATAATAATGTTGGTACATCTCTTGGAGCGTTTCCCTGAGGGTGACACCAATAATGTTTGGGTATTTGATTTCTCTGATGTACATAAAAATAATACGCTGTGTTTTCCTGAATCTGCCTGAGTTCCCTCACTCCTGGGTGGATGTTTAAGAAAAACAAACCTAATAATCACATGCTGCAAGTGGGTTATTTGTAGGGCAATTTTGGAGGTGGCAGCCTTCAAAGACAAGAATTCTGCCCACAGTAATCCCCAAAGAGTCTCCAATTGACCCTCCCCATGTTCACAGCAAATGACACTTACAGCCAGCATCTGGAGAGACAGATCCTCAGAGACATCCTTGGTGTTTCAGCTGCCCCAGAGATGAGCACAGAAGGCCCTTCCTATGGGGCAGGTGAGGGAGGACCATAGATACTGGGCTGTAAGATGGCTCTGGACAGGGGGCGGAAGCTGCTCAAAGAATTATCAAGCACAAAGTGCTTGCTGGAGGAATCACACAGAATGAAGTCTTCCCACCCTGCAAACAGATCCATAACCCAAATGACAGATACATCAGGAACGGTTTAACAGGACTAGCTGCACACAAAACAAGCCCACATTCAAACCAGAAATCTCCCTGAATGTCAACCTGAAAAGCAACAAACTTCTTAGAGCTATTTTGGGCTCATGCAAGATCACATGCTCAACCTAACAGTGGCTGAAGGGCTTCCGTTCAGATAACAAGAATCTGGACTATGTCTCTCTTGATGTCCTCCTTTTGGCAAACCACTTGCAAAGCTCAGAGTCTTTCTCTCGCTTCACATAGGAAAAGTTGTGCCCACTTATTTTGGCAGGACACTGGAGGTATCAAGCAAAAAGCCACATCTAGGAGTCAAATGGAGACTGCTCACAAAAAGCTCACAAACTGGCATCTCTACAAGCTCGCTTTTGTGGCTTGTGGTCCATCCAGTTATCAAGTCTGTTTCAAATGACACCATTGCTCATGGAAACCAACTCAAAAAAGCTACTGATCCCTAAAAAACAATCTGCTGCCTCCCTACCCAGGCCATTTTTTACTTGAGGTCCACAGAAGCTGATGCCAAATGAAACTACAGTGGTGCCCCGCTTGACGATAATCCGTTCCGTTAAAATCGCTGTTACGTGATATCGTCATCAAGCGAAAGAAAAAAACCCACTGAAATGCATTGAAAACCGGTTCAATGCGTTCCAATGGGCGAAACACCTCATCATCCAGCGAAGATCCTCCATAGGGGAAGCCATTTTCGGTCACTGTCTTCCGGAAATAGGTCCGGAAAACAGCGGGCGGCCATTTTGAAACCCGATGATCACCTGTTTTTGATCGTCGTAATGCGAAGAATTGGTTCCCAGAGCATGGAATCGATCATCATAAAACGGATTTTCCCCATTCAATCATCGTTTTGCGATCGTAATAGCAAAAACCTCATTGTGAAGCAATTTCATCGTTGAACAGGGTAATCGTCAAGTGGGGCACCACTGTAGTTAGTGTTTAAGGTGCCGCAGAGCTCTTTGTTGTAACAAACTAGGGAATGACAGAGAGATCCCTCTGGAAAGGTCTAAGACAACAACTCCCAGCACTTCTAAATTCTATAGAATAACTTCTCACCTGACAAAATACATCAGCCCACTCAGCGTAACAGTCTTGGGCGCAAATGACCAAGGTGGCAACTGCCCGCAGTTCACCAGAGACCACAAGTCCAGCTCTGGGTCATAGCACTGCATCACCATAGATTCTTTCCCAGCCAAGGAGCCGACGGCATAGAGTTTCCCACGGCAGGCAGTGGTGGAGCAGTTGTCCATGGGGTACATCATGGGCTGAAGGGGTTCCCAACTGTCCAGTGTGTGGTCGTAGCGCTCGGTGCTGTCGGCAGCCACCACGTACAACAGCCCATCCAAGACTACAGAGCTGTGGTACTCGCGAGCTTTCAGCATGGGGGACACTTCTGTCCACTCGTTCACACTGGAGTTGTAGCGCCAAACACAGTCGTAGAGCCGTGAGCCGTCTGAGCCTCCTGTGGGAGGTGGGGAAAGCACAGAAGTTAATGGCTAAGAGGGTCTCAGGGACTGTGGGAAGTAGCTTATGGCATGCAGATTCTTCATATATCCCCTTATAGCAGAAGCATGCAATGGTGGCCCTCTGCATGCTTTAGGCCTATCTAGTCATTTCTGAATTTGGATTTTAAAAAAAGGGTGCCAATTTTGTGATTTCCAGGACTGAGAGCAAAAACTGGACTCTGAAGTCTGCCAAAGGTGCTCTGCTCACACACCGAATAGTATATTTCTCCGTGGACATGATTCCTACCAGATTCCTCCGCTGTCTGAGCTCAGCCCTCTGCCTGACCAGCAAGTCAAACATCACTGCTCCCACTCCAGTGTTAGGCCTGCCCTGCTCCTGCATGCTCCCAGATGGAATCATGGCAAAAGCCACCTTAAGGGGCAGGAGAAAGGCTTCATTCCCAGGCAAAGAATATGTGGGTGGACCATCCTTGCCTAATTCCAACTCCTCGATAGGGAACATTCTCCTGACGCATGAAGGGACTGTCCGTTTCCTGACAGTAGACCTCAAGCAGTGCCGTGCATCAGGTCAGGCGCCTGCCGGCCTGATCTAAAAATAACTCCCCACACTGTTGACTCAAAGCAATGAGAGAGAAATGATGGGAAAAACAAGGAAGATGTTGGGCAATAGAAGAGTGCACCCCAGGCTGTTTGGGTCAGCAAGGACCATGGCTCTGCTGTTTTGGCTTCCCCATCTCTTGCGGGTTTAGCTGCAACTGTCACAGGATTCAGGAGGGCAAGGCAAGTTTACTGTTGTGAATTATCCCTAGTGCTTGGGGGCGGAGAAGAGTCTTGGTCACAAGCAGTCCTTTAAAAGTCATTTGTTTTACAAAAGACCTGCTTCTGACAGAGGTGAAAACTCCTAGAACTTGTCTGCCGATATAGAGCAATACAAAGACCTCCATTTTTGTAGTGGGGAAGATTGCTGGCTGTTGAAGATGCACTCACCCCCACTTGCAGTATTGTCCATCCCCATGAAAGACATCAAATGGGAGACTTCCTAGATATGCTCTTCTTAAAACCTCAGAACAGGGAGAGGGGAGTGCCAATCCTTCCTTGCCTGCCTCTCCTTCCATTCAAGGACGACAAGAGTTGGAATGCAATCTTACTCAACCCCTTCGCCTTGGTACACAGGCCAGATTCCTTTCCCAAACTTGCTCACTGCTCCAAAAGCCTTCAAAGACTCCTAGTTTCATGGCCTGCTTTATCTTAGGCCTGCCTTTGGTCACAAAGGTGTTTTGTCAAGCTGACCCAGAGAGATTAGCCAAAAGATCTTATATGAGTCCCTGTTCCAAGCTAGTATCCCTTCAGTGTTAGCCCACTGGGGGTAGCTACTCTGGCTTCATTTCCACACTCACACAATACATCCAAAAGGTGCTGCAGGGCACTTACATTCCAGGGCAGACCACAGGGGAGAACAGCCAAGCTGGCCAGAGGGTCTCACAGAACAATATCTTGGCTATGAGGGTGTTCCAGTTACACAGGACAGTCCCTCTGCCCAAATCCATTCTGTCCAGAGGTCTGGGAAGTGAGACTGCCCAATGAGTAGTCAGGTGCCTGTTCTGGGCCAGCCTGCTTCTTGCCTCACTTCTGCAAAGGCGTCAACGCTTCTACACCCACATAACGTGCTGGAAAAGGGCCAATGCGTCAGATGACAAGCAGTGCAGGATCTGTGTCATCCTCCTTCCTGTCCCTTTCCATCAAAGCAGCCTGGGCTCTCCTGGACCTGCACCCACCTCACTGTGTTAGAGGAGGCTGACTGCTCTCTCCCTGTGAGGAGGGAGCAGAAGACAAGCCAAGTCAGGAACTCACTGCACAGATCAGGCATCTTTAGGGCGCCTGGAACATGGGGAGGTAGAGGGGCCAGCCAGTCTTGCTTTCCCAACGATGTCCAGTGTCCCACCCAGCAGCTGGGCCTCTGTGTGAGTGCCTGCCCACCCCTGCGTGTAGGGAGGGCCGGTGTGTTTGTGGGTGGGTGGTCTGCTCCCGCCGCTCCTCACCGGTGACATAGATGTCGTTGCCGAGGGCGGCGGCGCTATAGCCCCCTCCCAGGTGCTCGGGGAACTCGGCCAGGTAGCGCCAGTGCCCGGTGCGCGGGTTGAAGCAGTCGACGGTGACCAGCTCGTCGCAGTCGCGATCGCAGCCGCCCAGGACCACCAGGATCTCGGCCAGGCCGGTGGAGGGGCGCGGGC